GCCCTTAGCAAAGGGCCCCGGACCCCGTACTCCCGGAGCACCCCCCACAGGGCGCTGCGAGGGACACGGTCGAATGCCTTCTCCAGATCCACGCAGCACATGTGGACTGGTTGGGCAAACTCCCATGAACTCTCCGCCACCTTGAAGAGGGTATAGAGCTGGTCCAGTGTTCCACGGCCAGGACGAAAACCGCATTGTTCCTCCTGAATTCGAGGTTCGACTATCGGTCGAATTCTCCTCTCCAGTACCCTGGCATAGACTTTCCCGGGGAGGCTGAGGAGTGTGATCCCCCTATAGTTGGAACACACCCTCCGGTCCCCCTTCTTAAAAAGAGGGACCACCACCCCGGTCTGCCAGTCCAGAGGCACTGTCCCCGACCGCCATGCGACGTTGCAGAGGCGTGTCAACCAAGACAGCCCAACAACATCCAGAGACTTGAGGTACTCAGGGCGGATCTCATCCACCCCCGGTGCCTTGCCACCGAGGAGCTTCTTAACTACCTCAGTGACTTCAGCTTGGGTGATGGACGAGTCCACCTCCGAGCCCTCAGCCTCTGCTTCCTCATCGGAAGACATGGCGCCGGCGCCATGCAATTAGACAAACATACTATAATACTGTATATAGTGTTTAACCAGTTACAGAACCTTTATGAAACGGAATCAATACAACTAAAGCTGAAACTTTTAGTCATTGAACTGAGAATATTTTGCTACTTGGTTAATGTTTTAAGTCAGGCTGCACATTACCTGGTTCTTCATTGTGAAGGATTGTTAGACATTATCTTAAGGAAACTGTGATGGGCACTGTGTTGTCTGACATTTTATAGAATAAAGGTTAAATGTGAAAAACAACTTTATAAAAGTGAGGATAACTCTGACAAGAAGCATTTACTGTACCATTGTGTAAAATTGTAAATGGTTTCTTGTCATAATGACCCAGAATAAACTAACACTAGAACTTTCAGCTCTTGTAAAGACAAAACGACATTATGCACAGTGTCCATAATCCTAATACTGTGTTGCTGTATCTCTCGTGTGGCCACAGAGGACCTGGATGTGGATGTGGAGGGCACTGACTACCTGCTGGGTGACCTGGAGTGGAGCACCAGCAGTGTGAGCGACTCAGGGGACGAGCGAAGCAGCCTGCGCAGCAGCTATAGCGACGAGGGCTACTCCAGCGCCAGCCTGCAGCGCCTGCAGGACACTCAGGAGAGGGCCAAGCAGCTGGGCTGCAGCCTATAAACAGCACTGGTCACTGACCCAACACCCACCTCCACTCCTCCAATCCCATCCCAATATTGTCTCACCACTCCCTGGTCTTGT